CCCTTCTGTAGGTGACCCTGCTTCGGCAGGAGGGTTGGACTAGATGACCCACAGAGGTCCCTGCCAACCCCGAATATTCTGTGATTCTGTGATTGTGGTGGCTAAATGATACCTAATCTGAATCTCCACGACTTGTGTGCCTTCTGGAACAGCGCTTAGACTTAGATTATTGCAATAGCTGTCAAGGTGGATGTCTTTGCATGTCTTGCTCTCCCTGTAGTCACACTGCTTAAGGTTCATTGGCTGTGCAATAAGAGGCGTGGAGTAATCTGTCTCTGCTCAAGTCAGTAGCTCTACCCCTGGCTTTGCTGTCCATGGCTCTGTGCTGCCGCAGTGTGACCACACAGCCAGCTGCTAGCTGGAGGTACTGCGGCTGCACGGCTTTGGCGTAGGTCCTGGGAGTTCCTGGGGTGGGCTGCTGTCCTGCTGGGGTGCTCTGAAAAGAAAAAATAACTGCATGCTGATCCCCTAATGCAGAATAGCTTGGCCTGGATCACTGCATTCAGTCTGGCTGCTGTTTCTAATTGTTTTCAGCCTGTTTTAGAGGCTTTAGTTGGAAGCATCCCTGTGCACACTGACCTCAAGGGTGGATTCTGTTGCCCAGTTGCCTAAGGCCCTGACACTTAGGGCCCTGCCTGCTTTGCAGCTGCTGCACCAGGATGGTGCAGGTCTCCTGCAGGTCCTGTGTCATGTCTGCCAGCCCTTGGTTACATCCTAGGGCACCACAGTTAGCCCTGGTGTGTCCATGAGGTAACCAAGCCTGTCCTAAGTGCTTCAAGTCATTTTACATTCAGCTTAGTGTACGTACTTTTTTTTATTCCTTCGAAAGCAATTGCTTAGGAGAAAACCAGGGTTTTGTTCTAATGATTACAGATGGCCTCTTCTAAAAAGTGTTTGAGTTGTAAAGAAGCTTTACTGCACCCCCCATTCTCTTTGAGCATGCTGTATTGCACCCAAGTGACACCTGTACACAAAAATACTGGAGTAGTTTTTATAGTCTTTTATTAGTGTGTAAGCACATCCATGGTGCATATAGAACTGTAACAGTTGACTTAATTTGAACAAATTATATTTTATTTTTCAGTAAGTGATTAGAAAGGCACTTCCACCTTGTGAATGGTGTATCAGGGGTGTAGTAACCAGGAAAAAACCCTATATTACTTGAGTACTCAAGACAAAATGAAAGTTTAAGAAAAGATTAATTGACCAATGCCTTTTTTTTTACCTGCAACAGTCTTTCAAATCCTCTGTAAACTATAATTCACTGGTATTTGAATAATCTGAGCTACTAGAGCTTTCTCTGGAAGACTCTCAAAGTGAATTATTCTGAGTGTTTAAAAAAACAACCACCTTTTCAAATACACTTCATGGTAAAATAAGTTTTGGAGTACTTCTAACGTCAATCTATACATTGGAGACAAGGAAGTTGTGCTTTTATCATTGTCAGAGGAGTGGGTGTATGTGACCTTGACACTAAGAGTAGACTTATACAGTGCTAAATATTATCCTCCCTCCCCTTGCTGCAGTGCAAACTTTTAAGCGTGTTTATTCACTGGCTTTTGTTCCATTGAAATCTCGATCTCTTGCATCCACTTCTTCATCAGCTCCTTCTGTTGCATTCTCAATTACTCTTCTGCCTCCAGATCTACGGGGTGGGGCAAAAGATGCTGGCTCATTTCCCTTCCTGCAGTAAGGGGGTGGAAAAAAAAAATCGGCTGTTAGGTCATTTGCAGTCCTCACAGATAAGCATAGGGTTTTGTAACAGTACCTCTGTGGCTGATGTTTTTAAATGCAGAACAGCCAAGAGCTGCGGGTCGCTGACAGAACTTTCTGTTTTCTAGCATATAAGAGTAATTTGTGGACAGGTTGAGACTCCCAGTTGCTTGGAACTGAGATGGGATTCCTGTTCTTGTGCTTAAAGTTGTCTGAATAACCTCATGTGCCCCAAACTCCCCCTACTCTTCCCTTTATTTCACAGTTTTCCCCTGTAGGGACTGCAGCTGGTTGTGGTGGGAAGGAATGGGAGCGGGTGCTGCTTGCACACACGGCAGCAGAGGAGTGTCCTTCCTGTCCGTTCAGAAGAGCAAGGTGTGAGAGCGAGCTTGTGCTGCGTTTCCAGCCTGCAGCTGGAATAAGCCCACCAGTAGTGGAAGGCCCCGGCGGCCTGGGATGGGAGCAGTGCTGTGGATGTCCACAGGTTTTTTTTGAGCCCACAGTCCCTCTCCGCAGAAGCTGCAGGGGTCAGAGCACCACAGGTGTTTTGACACCTCTGGCGTCCTAGGTTGGGAGGAGCTCCAGTCTCTTTCCCAATGGAGAAAGGAAACTATTGCTGTTCGG